AAGTACAAAAGTTTACATCATAAATTTTAATCTTAAAGAGTCCTCTTTTAATACTGTTTTTGAAATCAAAACAGAGAATCTTTAAAGGAAGATTAGCTGCTGAAGTTACAAAAAAAAATGCACATTGAGAGGCGTCCGGCACAATGATTGTTTCTTAAAGCTCTAAATGTAATTTTTACCCAACTAAAATTTTTTCAATTAAAAAATATCGCACCAATAATTTGGTGATCATACCAGGAGGGCCAAAAAGCCTTATTTATTGATTTACAATAAATGAAAAAGATATGAAAATAATTTATCGCAAATTTGGCATATTTGGCATATTTAATATTTTAAATCAAAATGGTCATATTGTGTAGAAAAAGCTATGATCAAATTATTTTTATTGTTTTGAATTAAAAAAAAAAATAAATAAAAAAAAAAATGATGGGACTTTATCAACAGTACAGAGTACTTTTTGTGAGATTAAAAATGAAACCTGAGTGGATTATCCGTTGAGAGTTATTTCATCAAGAACTTGCTGTGCTAAAATGTTAAATTAATTTTTTTTCAGAAGAATCTAGATTAAAGTTTAACGTTGAGTTGTTTTTAATAAGATAGTAAAATAAGAGTGTTCCATCTTAAAGCCCTTTCGTAATGCATCATCCGCCGAGAGTTGGATTCTTCCGGCCGCAGAACACGACGGACGAAGGCTCTTGCGGCAGAGACTTATGTCGCCTGTGCGTTAAAAAACTTTTACTTGCGAATCCATAAAATACTTTCCGGCCGCAAATGGCGCCTAAATGATGGATAAACTTGCGGGCTGACATCAGGCCAAGTGTCCGTCCGAGCCGAAGTTGTTCCGACTGAGTTTCGACTTCTGCAAGTTTTGGGTCGGCCAGTGTTACACACGCGCAAATTTCACTCTCTCTCGCTCTAAACGCAGCACGACCGGTTTGTTCATTATTGAATTTATATCCGGCAGCAGCAACAACGCCGGCAGCGTGTGTTATTGTGGTTCAGTTTGCGTTACCATAAGCACATTTAATCTCGCTAAAATGCCACCAGTCCTCGCCGCCATTATAATAATGTGCCTTTTTCCCCTTTTCGCCCGGTCGTCTGAGATAAATGCGACGCTCCCCGCGACAATAAAAGCGAGCGGCCGTAAAAAGAGGGAGGGTGAAATTAAAAAATTAAACTTTCACTTGCAAAAGGATGAACAAAATCGACTTTATTAACTATTGTTTCTATACAAGACGTTTGGGTCTTCAGTGAATCAAATGGTGAATTATTAAACGATTTTAACTTTTTTTCAATAATTTCTACCCGTATTTTTTTGTTTAATTAATAAATTTAAATAATCATGATTTAAAAAAAAAAATTAGTAGAGTGTATGGAATAATGAGGAAAATTCTTGAAAAAACTATGCAATAGGAAAATTTCAGTTAAAATTTTAAAATAATTACAAATTTGATATTCTTATAATAATTTTTTTACAGGAAATAATAGAGTCCATATATTCATTTGATTAAAATAGCACAATATTCTACGAAACGTTCATTTCAACGAATTATTTGAACTTCATGCATTAATAAATATGGTGAGAAATTTATGTTGATCAAAACGATTGCTGATTTTCTATCAAAATAAAATTTAATTTTGGTAATTCAAACATAATTTATTCAAACATCAAAATTTTATCAGTTATTTCCAATGAAATTTATAGATGTTTCGCAGTAACCTGTAAAATAATTTTTTTCATCAGAAAATTAGACATCCCTCTAAACAAATGATATTCCATTTATTCAGCCCAAATAATCAACTGAATTGCCCTCAGTGGACAAATGATAGATTTATTTTTAGGAACTGTGCGTTTATATGGCGAAGCGTGTTTTGGCAAGCGATGGTTGGGCTGTGTATTTTATCGGACGTTATCGATTACAGATAAATACCGAATAAACCACTCGGGTGTCAGCGTGGATGATCATTTATTATTTTTAAATGTGTCCCCCGGCTGAGAATCGAGACGGATTTTCGCCGTCGGGGCCTCGAATAGCATTATGGGGAGCTAAATAATATTTCACCCCGGGCAGAAATCCACCATCGGCGGAGGCGACACATAAATTTCACGGTCCTGCAAATGGAGATACACCTATCGTATTTTCAAATCATTTGTTAGGAAGGATAACTTTGGCCATCAATTACCCTTTCCTCTCTGGAATGGGCCGCCCTTCTCTCTCTCTCGGCACGTGATGATATTTCCGGCCACTCTCGCCGAAATTAGCTCTGCATGAAAAACTTTTTCACGCTTTTCACTCTTCGAACAAATCTCGCCCATTTTTTCTCGCGCACCTCAAGGGCCGTTTTCAAACTGACTGGTGCGTTTTCGACCCTCTGCTGGCCGAGATAATTAATTCAACAAAGAAAGGCTGTAAATCTTCTTCTCGCACCTAAAACTTGGCCAACCAGACTAGACAAGAATTGCTCATCCGAATTTAATCTGCGAGGCTTTGGCAAAGCCAGCCGTGCTCATTAAGGTCCACCGCTGGCCAAATTATGCGTGTCAAATTTTAATTTATGACATCGTGTAACAAGTAGAGCACGTTTTGGGAGAGTCTTATGTATGATTAAGCGCCGACAAAAGCAGATAAAGAGGGTATGATTAATTGGAATTTGATTAAAAAAATATTTCTCTATTGGTAAAAAATCATTTGATTTTATTATTAAGGAGCAAGGAAAGAAAAGAATCATGTTCATTTGATTAAAAATTCCTTATTATAAAAAATTTAATAAATAAATATAGCCTTTTAAAAGTCAGAGAATAATAAATTTATAGGATTAAAGTTTTAATTTTTTTTTTATAAAAAATTAATAAATTTGTATATTATTTTGCGTTTTATCTATTGATTTATTTCCACTTTTCTTGATTCAAAATTGAGTCTGTTCTAAAACTACCTCAATTTTTCCTGCAAAATAAATTATTTTGCGGTTTATGAGCAAAAAATTTGTGTTACTTTAAAAGAAATTTTTGTGTTATCAGGGTTAAATTTAAATAAGTTAGAGATTTGATTATAATATATGAAAGTTGGGTTCCCTCCAATACGCTCCAATATTTGAATCCTCTTACATCGGTACACAAAAATAAACTCAGGGTGCACAATTCAAAATTTTTATCCTGGCAGGGGTTGTGGCTCTGGGCGATTTTTATTTAATTACTATTTCGCTGTACAAGTTCGCCGTTATATGAATTTTGCAGAGCCAGATCGCAATCCGCACATGCAGTCGCGGCTTGAGTTATTGCGTCCCAAGAGGAAGCAGCGATTAAAATTTATTGGACGTGTATTGCAGCCGATATGCGGCACACATTTGTTGTAATATTCAAATGATAAATTCGTATTTATCTCTGTGTAATAAAGTGAGCTCAACTTTTTAGGGCCGTGATTTGTTGGCGCTGGAACAAATCCAAGAAAAGTAGAGAGAGAGTGTGACGCGCTCCGGACTATTGATTCTCGCGCCGCCGCGGCCACTTTCCACCACTTTGCGATAACTCGCACGAGAGACACTGCCTGGCCGCGGCCAAATTTCCATAAATTACGACAAACCAAGTCGCAATTGAAAACTAAAAAACCTAATTTGATATTCATTCACGCCCACATCGCAAAGCTATTTTATTTTTTTGATAATGGGACTATTTCCATTTTTTGTCTGAGAAATTCTAATTCTGTGAATGTGAGGAAATCGTAATTGTAAGTCTCATACACCAAAATAGAAAATCCGTTGAATATTGATGTTCATTTTATTTATAAATAAACAAATAACAACTTAGCTCATAACTCAAATAAGTTGCAAAATTTATGAAGAGATATTAGTGACGGATCCTTTCCTTATCAATCTTAATTTTTATTGGTTTATTTGTTATTGTTATTGTTGCAATCACCCTGGGTTCGTTAAATTATTGAAAAGAAATCAAAAACACTAAGAATTATGGGAAAAAACAACTAGCAAGAAATTTGCTAAATTTTTGCGTGTTTAGCTAACTCAAGCGTTTACAACACAACAATTTTAGAAGATAATATTAATCCAAGTTTTTTTTATTAAATCGGTTCAAGCTATGAATGGATTATTTTCACAATTTTTCCTCAAATCGAGGATCGGAGCGAGCAAGAGCAAAGCAAAAAACTGAGCTTGCGTTTCGTGAATTTAAATAATGTTAAAGCAACTACATAGTTTTCATGTTTATTTGCTAGATATTAAAGCGAACTAGTTTTTTTGGGAAAATTGTTTTCTTTTTTAATTAATAGAAGTTAATTTTGATAATAAGAAGAAGATATCAAAGACTGTTGCAATGCTTATGATTGAGGGGGGGGGTAATATGTGTTATTTTTTTTTTAATTATTATAACTCACTGCGGCGGATGGGGTGTTTTTTTTTATCTCGGAAGTTTTGGCAAAAAATTGCTAGTGGTGATGCAATTTTGTACAACAATTCCTTTATTTCCAAATAAATTGTTTTCAGCAATTGAATGTAAAAAAATGTTACGTCACAATTTTGACAAATAAACAAGGATTAATAATAAATAATTATTATAAGAAAGTCTTAATCTTCTTCTTATAATGCAAATTGATGCAAATGATGGAAATATTTTTTTTTTAAATGAGCGAACTTTGCTTACAATTTTTTATTCTACGCTTAGCTAAAGCAGGATAATAAGTTTATCGTGCCCACTGCCCTGAGTGAAACTCAGACGCAAATTGCTCATTCCAGTGCACACGACCGTGCCAGTCCTCATAATATATAAACCCGCCGCTTTTGTGCTTTTGGGCGGCATATCAAAATGCAAAAATGACACGTCAGCTGCACAACACGGTGTCTCGGGCCTTTGCCGAAAGTGCGTGAGGCGAAATCCAAAACTGCCTATCCTTGTTTCTTTCTTTCCTTCTTTGGAGCGGCCCGGCCTTATTCGCGAGCAGCGCACCAGCCACTTTTATTGATCAGCCCGTGTTTCTCTCTCTGTGTTTCAGCTCCACGAGTGGAGATCGTAGATGAGCGCGGTGTACCAATTGTCGATAAATTCTACAAAACGGGCAGCACGATCGAGCTCAAGTGTGTTATCAGTCAAGTCCCGCATCCATCCACTTACGTCACTTGGAAGCACGGCCAGCGAATGCTCAATTACGACACCTCTCGAGGCGGAATAAGGTGAGTTCGACCCTTTCTCATTGTTTTGCGGTGGAATGAAATCAGGTCTCCGATAAAATTGGCCGTCATCGGGGGTTAAACTACCCGAGGGTTATATTTTCCTTTCAATTTATAACACGCCCTCTTGTTTTTCGCCGCCTTTCATAAATAATTCAAGCTCGGGCAAAAACACCGCAGGTACTCTCCAGTGGCAGGGGCCAGCTAATGCTCGGTAATCTCTCTCTCGCTCGCTATAGCCGGAGAGAGAAAAGAGAGAACCCTCTCCTCGCTTTATATAGAGAGAGAGCTAAATTTAAGCCACCTGTCAATACCTGCTTTTTCTCGGCGCGCGATTTGCCATTCCGCCCGGTGAAATATTCATGAATTCACTCGCTTCTCCCAGGTCGGTATTTTTTATTTTATTTTTTCGCTCACGGTATAACAAGGAGTGAGTCGGGTTTTAGCACATAATTTGCGGAAAGCGAGCGTCCTCTCCGCCTCCTAATAAGGTTGTTACTTATTTACATGCACGCGTGAGTGGCAAAAAAATCGAGTCGCAGCGACGTTTCGATTCAATTTGTCTCCGTCTCTCAGCACGCTTGTTTGCCCAAAGCGACTTTTATCGGTCCGTCTTTTGAGCCCGGCAGAAAATCTAATCACATTTTCTGCCTTGTGCACCAGAAAGTCGTGCTTTAATTAATTTTCATTTCATCTCTCGGCCTTCAAAGGTTTTGAGAATATTTGATTAGCTGTAAAAGTATATGAGGCTCTGAAAAGGAGGGAAGTTTGAGGAAAAATGGCATGATTAAGGATGTGAAACTTTTGTGGGCAAAATAGTTGACTAGTTTTAGACTCAATTTTTTTTTTATAAAATATTAATTTCACTTTTTCAATTCTTAACTTTTTGTGAAGAATTCCATTATTATTTCAAACAAAGAACGAACGTTTAATTATTTAACTTTAGAAAATAATGTAAATCTTGTTTTAACGGCTTTAAATGATTTAGGCTGTTTTTAACGGTTCATGCGATGAAAATTATACCTTTTTCGTATTAAAATTAAAAACAAGAAAATTATTAAAAATCGTTTTTTTTTATCAATATTTTTTTTTTTAAATATTCATTTGACTCGCATCTTCTCTGGCAGGGCCTCTCAAAAATTTATTTGGCAAATCTTTAATGCAACAAGCGGCAGCTCTCCATGTCCATCCCTAAAGCGGATTAGGCATTCAGTTTGAGTGGAGGGACCGATCAAGGGAGCGACAATTAAATGACAAATTCCGTCTTTGCTGCAAATTAACGACCCTTTCCCTCAAAGCGTGTTTTGCATTCACAGGGAAGGTCTGAAGTCCCTTCACAACTCGGACAGTAATAGATTTATCATACGTAATCTTGGACGTCGCCATAGCAAAATGTTTCCGCTTTTGCGCCTCCGAAAAGGCCTGATAGTTGATGGAATGTTGTCTCCAGACCGCAAAAGTTGTGCGGAAGGCCGGGTCAGATTTATTCAGATGCATCTCGCCCACGGGTTATCACGTTCTTAAAATCTAAACCCCGTTTTTCTCTCAGGGAGTGAAATGTTCCATTATTTTAGCTGCTGCCAAGTCTTAAATATTTCGATAGCAATCTGAGAGTGCGTAAGCCCGGCTTGCTTTTTTTTCTTTTTTCTAACCCTCAGTAAAAAGAAGAAAGTTTCATCGCATTGCACATATAATCCAGGAAATAATGAAAGGCCTCCTTGGGCCTCCTCTTTTAATTTTTTTACGCAGCTGCAAGTTTTAACCCAGGACGAAATTATTTGGATCAATAAAATTAGGAACCCTTTCTCTCCTCTGGTTCCTCAATGGCTGATGGAATTAAGTTGCATGTTGAAGAGGAGGTCTCAATTGAAATTTGTTCCGGCACCAGTCCTTTGAAAGCGCTTTTCGTTAAATGGAGGCCTGCTTTAAACACGAGACTTTCTTCTCTCGGTCCTCGTCGTCTACTCGCTAAGCCAAAGAGAAACGCCGATCGGCTTGCGCTATTATTTCACGCACGACTGCAGCCGAATTTCGGGCAAAAGGAGACGCAAAAGACACCAAGAGAGAGAGAGAGAAAGGACACAATAACGGGCTCACGAGAGAGCAGACTGAAGGGTGTGGGCCCAAATTTTACGTGTTTTGATTCTGGGTGGCCGATTAAAGAGAACGATCGCCTATTCAATACGTGCAGATGTGGTTTAATTGTTAATAAAATCACAAATTTTTAAAATTTTTAGTTAAAATATAAAATTTATTTACGTAACAAAAAAATTCACATTTGTTTAAAAAAGATTTTTTTTATTTTTTATTTAATTATTAATACAAAATAGGCTTATTTTCTGTTTTGTTTAACATTTTTTTAAATTACGTTTTAATTTTATTTTTAAATAATGCATATTTTTGCCATTTAAATAAAATATACTGTACAACATCTAGACTCAAGCTACACACATTGTAAAATCCAAATTCAAAATTCATTGCTTCTTTTTTTTTGATTGATTTGATTGTTTTGTTGCAGTTATTAAAATTTTCAACTATCACTACTGTTATTAGTCATGGCTCATGGCAAAATCTTTCCACCTCTTCTCTTTGCAGAGGAAATCAGTGCCTTCTTTTGTATAAAATTCGCACCTATCCCTTGTGCTGGCTGCTTTTGCAAAAGCCGTGCACGCGTTTATTTGGAGAGGTGAAACTTTTGGCTCCGCACTAACTCGAACGAGTATCTCCATTAAGGATAATATTCGCGTCTCTGTGTGAATGGGATGCTAAAAAGTGCCGGGAGCGAAAAATAACACAGGGCGCTCGCTTGTTGATGCTTTTTTATTTTGCCGCGGGCGTGCCGAAACTCTTGGCCTTTCTCGCGCTCGGTAGTTAGATAGCAGTGTTATGGCGAGGATAAATTGGATTAGACGCCGGGGCCGCACTCGCTAAGTGAGTACAGAAAGGAGAACAAAAATGGAAGAAGTCTGAAAGTGTAGCGCCGGCAATATCTCGGCCGACGTGACAAGCGCCGCGATGAGAGTTGACGCCGGCGAAATCTCCACTCGAGAAATCGCGCCACTCCTTTTGAATAGATGGATGGATGAGCCCCCGTATGTGCCTTTCTTCTTTTTTTTCTTTCTTTGACGAGCGCGATTCTTCATTCAAGCCTCGTCGTGTTCATTCTGGCCTTCTGGCCCTGCGTGCAAAATGAACTGCCCGTCCGACCGACACCGCCTGTCGGCTCACATACGTAATTGAAATCGATTCGCAGGTGCATCTTGAGGCAGGAAGAGGCTGCCGAGCCCATATTTGCATAAGTTCCTGTTTGCACGCGGATAGACGGCGGAATGTCAATATTTTCGCAAGGAAAAATCCTCCTATATAAGATTTTATTGCAAATACATTGGCAAACAAAGCAGTTTGCATTATTTATAAATTGTTGCATTAAAATGATTAACATTCATCAAAAATTTTCCGTCGTCAATATTCTTAAAATTAAACAAAACTGTTCATTGAACTTTATTATTTTGGGTAAAAGCTGCTTCCAGTAAATAAAATTATAGTTTAATTGGAACTAATAAAGGAAACTGCGAGCTGCGATTCCATAATATATAATTTTGTCTATAATAACCTATTGGAAACATTGTAATAAAAATTGATGAAATCGTGCCATACACATTAATGTATCTGTCTGAGTGATTAGGATTGAAGTATCGATAGTTTAAATTAAAACTTAAAATTATTTATTTTGAATAATTTAAAATTGTTTCAATAATTTAACTAAGAAAACAACTGTAATATATCATATTAAATAAAAACAAAAAATAAAAATAAAATTAAAAAATTATTAATAATTTGCATAAATATAATAAATTTTTAACAACTTTTGACGTGAAATAAATTTTTTAACATACAATTTACTGACAAACAAGTCCATTAATATTATTCTATTTTATAATAAAAGTTACCATTATCATTATTATTATTTCTACGATGCGTATCACATTTTTTGTGCTGCAGTCGTGAATTTAATTCAACATATTTGCCTAAATAGAAAAGCCAGACTGTTTGTTTGTTTGTATTTAGAGGCGTATCTGGTACAGCCCCAATAAAACACGGACCCAGCAATATTTTCTTTTTGCACTTCAAACGAGGCGGGAGCCATAAATCCTGGCGGCAAAATAATTTCGCACGGGGATCTGTTGTTGGCTCGGTCAGTATATTATCGATATATAGTATTGCCTGCACCTCCGGTACCTCCGCTAAAATAATACTCCCCCTTTGTTTGCAAGCGAGTTTATATTCGGCGTGTTATTTTCGCTGAAATTTATGGTTCGGGTGCAGCTCGATAATATTTCACTCCGTTCAGAGAGCTCAGCTTTAAAGTTTGATTAAAAGTGAAAGTGTAGAGCGCTCCGTAAAATGAAGACCTGGCAGCAATACGCTTCGATTTGTCTTGCAGGAGGAAACGCTGGCAAAGGGTGGCAAAACACGAGAGATTTATACCGGATTTGTTTGGCCAAGAAAAAAAAAGCAAATCGACAGGTCCGCTTTGCACAAGGAAAGTTTTCGGCGTTTTTCGCCACTCGTGACACACATTTATTCAAATCTAATACGTGTATGGAGAAATGGAGCCACTTAAGTGTAAAAGTTTCGCACCAAAGAAGAAAGAAAGAAAGAGCACGCGGGCAGCAACAGCCCCTTTACATCTGCTTCTTGGCGAGCTAGGAGAGAGAAAGAAAAGTTGAAAAAAAGGAAGAAAAGGAAATCCGGTGAACCAAAAGGAAAAGCTCCTCGTTTCATAAAATATTTTTCTGCTGCAATTGAGTCGTTTCTCCCTTTTTTTTATTTTATTAAACCCGCGCGCCTTTATATTGGAAAGTTGTTTTATTATATTTAAGTGCGGCCAGAAGGTCTTTTTTCCTTTTCGTTTCCTCTTCTCTTGACCTCTTCTCAGCTTCTGTGTTATTGCTCTCGCCGCAGACGAAAAAATTGTCCGCATGACATCAGATATGCTACGC